TGCTGAAATGGCTAAGTATTGGTTCGGTCTCAGGTACTTGTGGCGTGGCAAGCATACATTTGCCATTGCTCAACACAAACATCACCGCAGTATATACGAGGAAGCAGATGCGTGCAAGAGGAGGAAATGATACGCCCGACCTCTGATCGATCTTCACACGAAAATATATCGGTACGAGGGATTAGAGCCGTGGAGCATCAAGAAGAACACAGTTAGCGGTAAAGATCACATCTATCAAATATTAATCTCTTATCACATGCTTTGCTGCTACTAATAAGGATAGAATGATACAATAGATGTTCCGGAAGGAGCTGTGATAATAAGAGAGCACACGGCAATGAACAACCTCTTCAGCTGCCTCTGGTTCAACGAGGTTCATGTCTTAACGCCGAGGGATCAACTCAGCTTCGGATACGTCGTTTACAGACTGAAGGGGAACTTCGAATTCTTCATGTTCAAGAACTGCGAGTACAATTCTCTGTTTGTACTGCATCCTCATATAAGGGAGCATTCTTCAAAGATTGAATGGGTGAAGGATCTTTCTGAGCTTGGAGGGAAAGGAGAGAGTATGAAGGAGAAGCGCGGTGGTTTTGGACTCTGGACCCCTTATCCTATGGATCTCCGTTCTGTTGTTCTTCCTAAAGTGGTGAGAACTTCAAAAGCTGGCTGACAACAGACAAAGACGTTCACTTTGTAATAGATTCTCGATTTTCGATATGAATTCAAACGGTCATCTGTTGAAGGTAATAGAAGCCCATATTGAAACGGTAGATTCTCTGTCTGGATGGAGAACAATATCGATCAAATCAGTTGGTGGAGTCGCGGCTGTAGAACTGGTCGATGGTTTTGGCGGGAACACAATGAAGCAACTCGCGGAGGGAAGAAGATCCTGAACGAGAATAGACCAGGTGACGATCCGAGGCATTTCCAGTAAAACCCGTTAATGGCGTAACGGCATAACCACGAACGAGAAATAGACGAGGTGACGACGTTTCAGTCGGGAATTTGGTCGAACAGCTTCTCGGCTTCCAGAACTTTGCCCGAATCGAAATAGCTGCTCAAGGTCCGACAGGTAGTTAAAGCCGGGAGGCCTCTGCGACTGGAGAATCCAAACGGAGTTGCAGCAATCTTCTCCAAGATCATACTGATTCTGTCCCCCCGATAACGTACTGATCAAATCACCACGTGGGTATATTTCCGGACGAATCGAAATCTGATCTGAAATGTCGGAGAGAAACCTTCCCTCATGCATATATATAGTGAGGTTTGAACTAAAGACAGATTTTCAAGTTGCTTGAACACTTTTTTGATAATAGTTGTTTGAATTTTGTAATTATATATATATATAAATATTTATTGTATAACTAAAAATTGAAATTTAGATGACTATGATAAAATATATATATATCCGAAAACCATCTAAAATTTGACTATGATAGTAAACAAATTTAATTGCCCAAAAGAAACATGCAGCCTCAATAAATACAATGAAGCATATAATAAAATAGTTAATAAATAAAATTAAATAAATTTTGAGATTATCATCGTTCTAATAAGATCAGATACAGTAGAAAAAAATTATCATACACGTAACGTGAGATTTCTCCATATAACAATAATTTAAGTAAAAAACACACGCAAATAAAAAATACACAATCTTAGAATAATTAATTCTTCTTGTCACGACCACACTTGACTTGAACAGCAAGTGTCTTCACAACCTTAGGGCATGAATCCTTCCTGCCTTGTTGGAACTCTCCCTTGTTCACTGGGATCTCACACTCTGCCTTCCCCAAACAATACTGCACCAGAAAAAAAAATACACCGGGATTACGTTTCGTATTTTAAAAATTCATAACTAAACGATTATTTAATTTTATTCGATTCGATTACGATTTGGTCATTAATCAAATAATAACTCGTTTCGGTTATAATAGAAAAGGAAACAAATTTTGGAAACATTATTAAAGAAAAATGTTAAAGAACTCACTTTTAGTTATGTAACATAGTTATAAAACTATATAAACAAACTTATTATACTAATTTTTCTATTTAGATATGACATATATTGCGTATGAATCGGTGATACAAATTTATGAACAGTTAGGTTCGGTTTATTCTATTATTTTTAAATTTAGATTCGGTTATTTCGTATTTCGAAGATTTATAACCAAATAGTTATTTAATTTTAATCAATTTGGTTCAATTCTGTATAAATCGGTTCGGTTTTCAAAAAACGAGAACAGTTGAGACAATGTAGGAATTTGATTACCTTCTCGATGACTTGTTTGGAGATCGGAGCATTACATGATCCGAGGGTGAAGTTTCCACATGTTCCGGTAGGGTTACCAAAGCTGGCAAACTCCACGGCTGTAATCTTCTTAGTTCCTGAGCATTTGAGCGACGCAGTTAGATGGACACCATTGTTGATGGCCTGAAGCTCGTCCTTCTTCCTCGTCCAGTGTCTGACACTGGGCGAGTAATCTTCTCCGACGTATGAACAGACCTTGTCTCTGTTCACGATGACAAAATCGATGGATTCTGGTTTGACGTCAGGCTCTTCCTCGAATATGACGAGGAGGTTTTGCTTGGGCTTCAAGAAAGATCTCGGGATATGGTATTCGGTCTGAGTTGGCTCGCCTTGAGGGGACAAGAACGACATCCAGTATCGTCCGACGCCTTTTCCGTTCACCCAGATCAGTCCTTTACCCATTCCTTTCATCCGAATCGCCACCGAGTTTTGGCTCTCCGGCGCGTCGAAGTAGGTCTGCAGCTCGTGAATCCACATTGATTAGATTAGGGTTTGTTTTTTTATCTAGGGTTTTCGGTTTGGCATTGTTTTTTTTATACCTGGTACCATGTCATCCCCGGTGAGTTTCCGTCGAATTTCTGCCATTTCACCTTCTTCAAACCTTCCTCGGTGTGGATACCGAGCTTTTCGCCTTCCATACCGACCTAAAGAACAGTTTTGAAGGACGTGAAGGAGATGAAAATCTTGCTCAGACCAATCCTTACAGATCAATAACCAGTTAGATAGTATTGACAAGAACCTTGTTTCCCCATTTGTTGTGTTCTGTGAGATCAACTGTACCCGATCTCAATCCCAAGAGGGAAACCCCTCGAGGGCCTGTGTACCTGTGCTCCATGTATGATCCACTGTCCTGATGAATTCGTTCCGACAAAGATATCGATAAGAACACTTGTTTTGTAACTTCATATATCCTCAGATCGAGATCTTGAAACTAAACCCTAATCCAAATGTGTTTTTTTTTACTTACTGGATATCCAGTAAGAACACCTAACATCGCGAGGTGGTTCACGCCTTCTTTCAAATTAACGGCTTTCTGGAAGACGAAGCTCTTCTCTTCATGGCTTCCATGTGCGTTTCCTAACGAAAACATAACTCCATTTTCACGTTTTTCTCGCGGCATCGAACGTTTTATATCAGAATCTAAGGTATGGATATCGATCATTCGTATATGTCATGCCCTTACCAATGTATTTTCCGTTGATCCAGACGTGCAGCGCGTGCCCGAGACTGGCAATCCTCAAAGTCGGTTTCTTATTCAACAGCTCGTTCTTTCCGACCTTAAAGCTGCAAACCCGAGAATACGTTTTTTCACGATTGATGTTTGTTACTTCTATCTATATGAGCTGTTACCAATGATAAATACCTCGTCGTGTACCATGCGTAGTCTGTCTTGTCCTTAGCCAAACCATAGAGTTCAACCGGGATATAGGAATCACCGTCGAGACCCTTTGGCACGGACTCGCTGAAAACGTTAAACTCGAACTTTTTGTTCGCCTTTTTGGATTTGATGAAGTTCCTTGATGTGTGTTGAGAGAGGATCTAATTCGATTCGAAGTTCAAGAAAAGCGATTAAAGATCGGAATCTAGATGGATCGAGATTTAGGGTTTAAAGTTTAGGGTTTCGTCACCTGTGCAGTGTTGTAAACCACAGTCTTGCAGTCCGGGAGGATACTGATGGATCGAGGAGGTACGATGTAATTCCTGCCCTTAAAGTTCACGGCTACAGCGGATTCCGTGTTGTTATTAGCTAAGAATGCAGCACAAGCTTTTGTTCCTGGCTGCTCGTAGTATCGGATCTGCAATGGTTACAGTCGGTTTAGCGCCCCGAAAAACCGATTCAACCCACAAAAGATTCGAACTTTTGAACCGTCGATGCATATTATTCAATAACCTCGGTATCTTGGTCTGGCTTCATGCTCCGAGGCTGGCCCCAAAGAAGTGCTTTCTTGCACAAGTTAAGAGCGTTGTGTAGTTGTTTCAGATGTCCGTATTTCGGTTCCCTTTCCAGACCTATGTAACGCATTTTACTCGATTTTATAACCGAGAATTCTTGATAGACGTAACCGAAAGTTCTGTCATTGCGAAATTTCATTACCGTATTCGTCAAGAGGTGCGTCGTCGTAGTAACGAGTCGTCACGTAATGCGCCGAGGTTCTTCCGAAGTTGGTTCCTCCATGGTACTGCCGAGAAAGAAAATGAGATATTTGAACGGTATTCAACTTCAGATTCAAAACTATATAGTTGATCATATATATATATATATATATATATCGAAAAATGGCCCGTACCATGTAATAGTTTACATGAGTTCCATTCTTGGAGAAGAACCGAGCGACGGAAAACGCAATGTCTTCCACCGATCTTTGGGTCGGAGGATCGCCAAAAACGCGGAACCTGCAGAATCACAAGAAAAAAAATCTGCATTCTTCTGATTCTGTTTCGTACCATTTTAACATTCTTGTTCTTGAACGCTATTCAGTGTATGTACTCACTGAGTAGTCCAGTTCTCGGTCCACAACGAGGGTTTATGCTCTTTGTTCGGGCCGGGAAACGTATCGCCACAATGCCTTCCATTGCAGGCATTGATCTGCAGACATGAATTCTCAAAGTTAAACCATTGAAAACTTTTAAGCAATGAGAATCTTTGTTTCTTGAACTGACCATTGGGTCGGGAGCATCGTTCTGCTTGCACATAACCCACGGGATCCCAAGATTCATCGAGTCCACGAGATTCGCCGCCCAGTTAATGTAGTTCATGCCGTCTTGTTTGTAGGCTCGTTGGACGGCACTGTACTCGTTTTCGATCTGTATTCATTTCCATTTACAGCTAAATCACTTTATGTTTCACAGGTTTCTTGTCCGAACAAACAAGTAAACATTTCATGTTTTTCGTTTTCACCTGTCCTAATATAATGGGTCCTCCCTGTGAAGCAAACAGCTTTTCTTCTTTCATCTTTTCGATTATCGTCCGAACGTATCTTTCTGTGTGTTCCTGCAAAAGATTTGAACACAATGTTATATCCATATAGTGTGTATGTTTCAGCTAATATATGCGTATACATACACGTATATATACGCACATCGTCGTATTTACCTTGAACTGTTTGTTGTCGGTTCTGAAGAAGATCCCGGGCACTTCTCTTAACCAGTAGGGAAGCCCTCTGATATGAACAGATCCACATCATTTAGTATCAAAGAAGATGAAAATCGCGAAATCGCGTTCGGATGGATCTATTAGAACGGATCTGATCACATACCCGTGAGTCCATTCGGCCTGGATGAACGGCCCAAGCCTCAAGGTCACATACATGCCATTCTTCTCTATCAGCTTGATGAACTTCACCAAGTCAGCATTCCCCGAAAAGTTGAACTGCGAATCAAATCATCCAAGAATTGGTACACGTTTATTACAACCTCTAAACATCAAGAACAAGGAGATTAGATTGTGTCTTTGAATCCCTTTTACCTTCCCCTGTTCAGGCTCATGAACATTCCAGAAAACGTACGTCTGAATCGTGTTCAGACCGCCTTGTTTCGCCCTCATGATGATGTTCGGCCACATCTGAACAAAACCCAGATCGCAAAACCGATCAAAGAACACAAAACGACGAAAAAGGTCGCGTCTTTTCGTAGATCAAACGTGAAAAAACCAGATATATTTCTAGGGTTATTGGAGATATATATATACATCAGGAGTGCTACGAGGGTAATGGACAGAGCCGGAGTAAAGAAGCTCTCGTTTGCCATTGATGATGAGAGAGGTTCCGTCATAAGTGACGCCGTTCTTCTTCTTCTTGGCGACGACACCAGAGAGAAACGACGACGACGAGAGACAGATCACGAGAAACGCTAATGGAAGCCATCGGTTCGTAGGATGTTGTCTCATGACGCTCTCTGTGTTTTTTTTTTCTCTTTTTTTTTTTGTTTTTTTTTCTTGTCCTGAGTCGGACCCCTTCCTTGTCGAAGGATCAGAAAATCAACAAGGAGAGCTCAAATAACAGGCTTCAAGGGAAGGGAATGATATAAGAGAAGGAATTCGCGATAGAGAGAGATTCACGGCTCTGAAAACTTCTTTCTGGTTTTCTTCTTTTTGTTTCTTTTTTTGTTCTTGTTGCCGATAGGTTTTGGCATTTGCTATTTTTGGAAGGTTGTGTGTTTTTTTGCATGGTCCCACTGTGTTCTTCCTCCTAATCTGGCGGGTAAACAGACGCAATCGAATTTTGTTAAAACCCTCTGGCCCAGTCAGAAGGTTCCTTAGTTGAAAAAAAAAGCAAAATTTTAAAAAAGGAAGATCCAAAATCGGCTCAGGAAAAAGATGCATGTGGGTTTCATTTGTTTTTTTTCCCTTGTGATAAAAGGTGCTGACTTTCTTTGTTTTGAATTTTGTATTTGTGCGAAACCATATAATATAATAATAATAATAATCGTATACCAAAAGAATAGCCACTTCTGTGGGTCGTTGGACGTCTACATTCGCATTTATAGAATAGCCATGTTATATGATACATCAAATATTTAATCGTCTTTTAATATTTTTTGGTGAGGGTATTCTATTACAAACTATGAGTATTATTATATTTTTTGGTTTTTAGATTCCAAATCGAACTTAAATAGCTCACTTTCCAATTCATCTATAATTATTTACCTCAACTCTAGGTTTTTATTATCATCAATAATAGATTCTTTTAAAAACGTCTATAATTATTGTCTTCTTAATGTAATTTAATAACATTTGAGAAACCAGAATAAGCGGTTAATGCAATTATTATATAATTGGTTTTCCATAAATTTTGTAGGGCCTCTCTCGTTTTGGGCAATGAAATATTTCAGAGCATGTGGGGGGAAGACTCTGCGAGAGACTTTCAGCTGCTTCCTCTTTGTCTTGTAGCTCTTAGGAACCACTCTCTCTCTCTCTCTCTCTCTCTCTATTTATATATACCAAATCTTACCTGCCCAGTGGAAAAATTAGGGTTTGCTGCTGCTGAAGAAGGAGGAGGAGGAGAAGCAGAAAAGATGAGCGCTTCGAAGTTCATAAAATGCGTCACCGTCGGCGACGGCGCCGTGGGTAAGACCTGTCTGCTCATTTCCTACACGAGCAACACCTTCCCTACGGTGAGAGAGACGTTTTCACTTCGAAAGTTTTTGTTTTTTTTCTTTTTCGAGGTTTCTTGTTTGTTTCCCGAGAAAATCGGGCGAGAAAATGAGCTCCCCAGAGCTGGATTTGACCTGGGTTCGGGAGGTGAAGTCTTAAGAATATACTCGTTTCTGAGGAATCTGAGGGCACACAGCTCTGGAGCTTTTGATTTTCTCGCAAATGCAGATGGAAAGTCTCGAGATTTTCTAGGAAAATTAACCTAAACACAATCTGGGTCTGCTTAAAGGATTGTTCTTTCTGCTCTTCTGGTAGGGTTTAACCATTTAGTGATCTTGTGCTTCCAAGTGCTAGTCAACTTTTGTTTGGTCGAATCATATGATTTTTGGCACTTATGCTATCCTTAGGTTTGAACAATCTCGCCTTCATATCTTTTTCCATGTTCCTGTCGGATGCTTCAATTCAATTTTCTCGACGTGCATTGGCTATTGTTGGTCCTTCCCATTATCAAGTATGGGGAAGAACTTAGTAGGTAAGGATATCAATTTTTATAACTTTCATTGGAATGTCGATTTGATAGGATTATGTGCCCACAGTGTTCGATAACTTCAGCGCCAATGTGATTGTGGATGGGAATACCATAAACTTGGGATTGTGGGACACTGCAGGCAAGTTACCTTAGATCTGATTTCTTTTCTTTGAATCTTTGTTTTTTAGTATCTTTCTCTCGAGAAAACCCTTTTTTGATAATGTTCTGATTCATTGAAACAGGCCAGGAGGACTACAATAGGCTCAGACCATTGAGCTATCGCGGAGCAGATGTCTTCTTGCTCGCTTTTTCTCTCGTCAGCAGAGCCAGCTATGAAAATGTCGCCAAAAAGGTGTACCCTTTGTCATAATCTGCCAATACTTGTTTCACATTTTTAACATCTGGTGATGCTGATTGCATCTGTTTGGTGTTCTTGTTTGGTTGTCAGTGGGTTCCTGAACTGAGACATTATGCTCCCGGTGTGCCCATTATCCTTGTTGGAACAAAGCTTGGTTGGTTCCTTTTAGTTTGGATCTTGATAAACTATTCTTATTTTTGGTTATGGGTGATTTCTTGAAACATTTTCTCAAATCTCATCGTCTTTCAGATCTTCGGGATGATAAGCAGTACTTTATCGAACACCCTGGTGCTGTGCCTATCTCTACTGCCCAGGTATCTTTTCCCTCGGCTTCTTCTAATGCGAATTTCACCGATTTCGCGTTAAAAACTTTTACAGGATCGTGTCATCTGATTGTCTTAGTTAGTTTTTTGTTCCATCCTTCACCATCTTGTCGGTTTTTCTTCTTCTTCCCAAGGGTGAAGAACTGAGGAAGGAGATCGGAGCTCCTGCTTACATCGAATGCAGTGCTAAAACACAACAGGTACCTGAAATTCTACGTCTTAATGGTAAACTACCAATGGGAAATCAGTTTGACAAAATCTATGTCTTAAAATACAGAATGTAAAAGCTGTCTTCGATGCTGCTATCAAGGTTGTTCTACAACCACCCAAAATCAAGAAGAGGAAGAAGAGAAAATCTCAGAAAGGTTGTTCCATATTGTGATCAAGGAAAGAG